CGTCGTGTTTGTTAATTGGCAGTTCCATTCATTCCATGCGGCATTCTCCTTGTAGTTCATTGCAACACAAAAACGGTTATCTGCGCATTTAAGGCCGCAAAGCTTATAAGTTGGTTCTCTCAATTGAGCGATGAGATTTGTTTTTAAACCAGGCACATCTAAAAAATGTTAATTTATTCATTTTCGGCTTTAATATGACGTCACGTGCGGGTAAAACGTCTGTGCCATGCGTACCAGACGGCTTTTATGTTGTCTATATCGTTTTATATTTAAGAAATATAAAACATCTTCCGCGTTGATATGCAGTATCATCAACACGTGTGGAAGTTGGGAAAACCAGATATTGAGTGGCCATGGAAACTGGCTCCTGGAGGTGGAATGTTTTCACAAGATTTAGAGTTTTCCCAATTTCCACGAGTTTTGATATAAATGTATATCAATCAATCAATGCGAAAATTTATTTTTTTTATAATATAGCCGAAAGAAATATAAAGAAATAACTTCGCCGTGTTGATATCGAGTTATAGCAACAAGGCTCTTAGTCAATCGGTGTTCAGAATTTACAAATGCAAAATTATAATGGCTTTTATAAAAGCCGGATACATACAGTAAGATGCATCATTATTTTAAGAAACATGAGATGCGTCGTCGTTTACATAAGATGCGATGTGAGCCATTTAGTTTCTTAGCTGTTTTAGTTGACTTCATTTCAACATAGTTAATAGAATTGTGTGTGTGAATGGAATTGTGTGTTTGTAAAAAAATGGGGGGAAAGGTCACGAAAAGAAAGTTCTTTAACCACAACAGTTGCCGCTTTTCTTTATTTTAGGTTTATTTTTCTTCGTTTTAATAGTTTGAAAGACTTATAGACCTTTTAGACTCGGCTCTCGTCGCAGGGCAATAAAAATTGTGTATTGCCCGTGGGCAATACGGGAAAATCCTGTCTCTTCAGCAGCCTCTCTTAAGATATGTATAAGTTTATAAGTTATTTATACTAGAAAAAGAATTTTTGGATGGTTGAGTCTGCGTGCGTTTATTTGACAACATAGCTCCAAACTATTTTAATAGGGAGGAAGCAACAATTTTTCCAGAAAAAACGACTGGCTATCGTACGATCAAATTGCATCCTTGCAGCCTGAAAACGCAGGAAATCGCATTTCAGAGGTTCAAATTTTAACATTTTCTTGGACGAGCATGCCCCCGAACCCCCAAGGTTAAAGATGTTTCATATACTGTACCCTCCCCCCATTTTCGAGAATACTCTAGTCTATCCTTGCATGCATGTATTACGTCTTGGCGCAGTTATACATTTTTTTGTAAGTTAACCTGCACGGTTTATTGTAGGGAACAGTATGACATACCCATATAAAATAAAGCCCAGTGATAATTTCTTGGCCCCTTTTGGAATTTTCTTGGCCTCCTCTGACTAAAAAATCCAGCTATGTCTCCCACGATTCCTATATGAAAGCCTTAAGATACTTTAAGCCGTTATAATGAGAAGCAAAAAAAAATCCTGCCGCAAAATATATTGGAAAAAAAGATCTTACGCTGCACGGTCTAAATCTTCCAACACCTTCCCCCCTCCTCAAAAATCAAATGGTCCGCCCCTTACCACACGTTTGTATACCGCATGTATTTTGAAACGAGACAGTCAAGACAGATAAACCGTTATCCTTCAGGTACTGTTTTGTAGTTTATAATTCTATGAAGAGTCTATAGTTTTTATTTGTTTAATTATTTAATTTTATAACTGTTTTGAGCGAACTTTTCTTACTATTATGCTCCTGAAAATATGTTCGGAATGTGCCACAAATAATCTTTGTAAAATTGTTATTTTTAGAATTAAGCTGATATAAAATTAAAAGGAAATCTCCTTGCGTATCGCACTTGGTCTTCCTGGCATGCGTCTACACCAACTTCTGAAACACTAAAGAGTTTAGTACCGATCTATTAGCAAAAAAAAAGCAACAGACAATCGAGTGTATATCAATATTCATATTTTTCAAGTACCATGCCGGAGAATCGAGCAAAGACAATATTGCAAGCGAAACCACGTTGAAAAATAAGCAAATTTACTCGAGGAAAGATTACTCGTATTATAAAGATGTTGAACGAAGGAGTCACAAAAGAAGATTAAAATTTTAGGCGTCTTGATAAAGAAATTGAACAATAATGTAAGAACTTTGAAATCGCGCCTGAATTACACAGCCAGTTATATGATTTGCCAGGCGTAGATGTTGGTGCCTTAGGGTTAGATAAATGGGGAAATGATCTTACAAACAATGTGAATGGTATCGAGGATAAAGTTGAAGAACATATCCGTGGTATCTCGAAGCCAACTGGCGAAATATCTGGGATAAAAGATAACCCTTCCCTTATAAAAGGAAAAAATAAGTCAACGTCAACGCCATAGATATCTTATATACACTAGATAGTGCACCTAATTATTCTGCAATTCAAAAATTGAAGCCGTGATTGCAGACTCAGGATATTCCCTTGAAATGAGAAGACTCGTATGTTTTCTATTTCTTAAACAGGGAATTTAAACATTAAGTTAAACCTATTGCAATACATTTTCAAACTGTTCAAATGATGAAAGTTATTGTTGTTGTTAAGTGTATATTAGCGAGGGGGAAACTCCAACATGGCCACCATCTATTCAAGTGGGGTAACCGCTGGAATATTCTTGGCTTCAATTTTACTTAAAGAGATGCGCTATCTAGTGTATGTAAGATATCTATGGTCAACACACTGAGCGCGCCAGTACATTAATATAACTTACCGGAGTGTCTCAAACTTCATCCCACATGTCAACACCGGAAGCTTGTACATCAATATCACAACAAGAGGAAATTCAGAAAATTCATTTGGCTACAAGCAGTCATAGTAATGAAGAAGCAGCAGTTTGTTCGATTTCGTCCTTTGATTCTTGGACATGAATTCGAAGAGACTAAAACAACCATGCAGTCGGTTGGTCCCAAATGTCTATATAGCAGATGCCCTTTTGAAGTTGGAAGCAAGGAGACATATACCCAATGTTACCTTGAATAAATTTTCTTTGAATCCATTGGATTGGGCATATTTCATTGATCGCCTTAGTAAAATACGTATCCATATCCACAAACCACACCTAACAGATTATATGCGATTGATTCAGCTAAAGATGCATGTTAGTGTCGATGCGGAAAGAACAATTTCGGGTTTGCGTTCGAAAGGGATAATGTATGCAACAGCCTTTGAAACAATTAATTTAAGGAAAAATTCGGGCAGCCAAGTGTGATTGCGCGTGCATTAGTTTACAACCTCACCAAAAGAGAGAAAATCGGTAGAAGCGACAGGAAGAAATTGCGTGAGTTTTCAATCGACCTTCTTAATTGCATGGCGATAATGAAAGGCATTGGATATACAGCCGACATAAATGGCAACGAAAATGTGTGAAGGATCGTTATGCGTTTTCCAGACCACATGATCGAGAAGTGGAGAGTCGTTGTGGCCGATATTCGAAAGAACAGCACGACGGCAACTGTTGGCCACAACAGTGAATTCGTGAGAAAGAGGGTAAAGGCGGAGTTTGATCAAGACTTTGGTGTTGATCTACGAGATTCGAGATCGCCGAGAAACGACCTTGATCCACCGAGAAGAGACATGTACGATGTCGTGATTTCATGAATTCGCCATTAAAGTGTTACGTACGTGAAGAAAAGCACAGTGTTATTGAATGTCCTGTGATAATGAAGGCCTCGGTTCCAGAAAGATTAGAGCTATGAAAGAAAGCAAGACCATGCTTTTCGTTTTTGAATCGTGGGCATGCCAAAAATATTGTCAACTAAACAAGAATTTCGAAAAGAGTAGCTCGTACCCCTTCTTTTATCATCCTCGTTTACATTCCAACCAATCCTGTTCACGTACAGTCGGCAACATTACCCAAGTCAGTGCAGCCCAACCAGGAGTCGCCTCAGTTTTAGACAGAACGAGTATTATGCCTGTAATCAGATCGAGATTTAGACCCCTAACGGAAGAGTTCGTAAAGGAAACGTGTTGATCGGAACGACAGTTATACGAAAGCAGTTCGCGAAGAACCTGGGATTGAATGGGAAAAAAAGAACGGATTGATTTAGCAGTGGTTGAAAGAAAGAAGTTAGTGGAACAACAAAGCTGAAGAGTTAACGTTTCGGTCTCTGCTATCCATGGTGTGCAAGAATTCAAGATAGAAGCAGTCGAGACCGACAAAACTATTCTAAATATCCCTGATTTGGACAGGAAATGGCTCAGGTCATTTCCCTATCTTCAAGACATGAGTTTCATCATGAATCTGCTCCAGTAGATCTCATTCTGGGAGTCCATTATATCCTCTTTCACACAGAAAAAGAGATTCGATATGGAGATGCATTTCCAACCTGTGGCCAGGAGAACCAAACTTAGATGCTAGGTGATGGGAGCAAATGAGGAGCGACAAACCTGCGGGGTTTGTTCGATTCATTTTGCGCGAAAGATGGGGAGAAGTTTTACAAATCCAAGACGCTTGGAGTGCAAGCAGTCAACTGTCCGTGCCCAAAATCAGCCATGTAAATAGATGATAAACGAGCGATGGAGCTTATGGAAAAATCCTGTAAGCACGAAATAACCGTTACGTCATTGGTCTTCCGTGGAAAACGAATAAGACTTTTTTGCCCGATAACCGTTATTTAGCAGAAACGGGCGACTTTGATCGTTAGAAAAGAGCCTGAGAAAGAATGAAGAAAAGTAAAAAATGTACGGCGACGCGATAACGCAATACGTAGATAACAAATGGGCAATTCCCCTTATCGAAGAAGATCCCTAAGCTCTAACCCCTAACCCTAATCTAAACTTGATGACCTTTTTGTTTATAATCTCTTTTTAATAGCGAGAGTGATCCTTCACCCTTTCAGCAAAAAGAAGCGTAGCCTGGGTTCTTCCGAGTTATACGTTTCATTTAGTCGATCTTAGCTTCTTGGCATGCGTGCATGTACACCAATACGTGGTACTATTTTCTCTTAGCAATGAAACAATCAATATGTTTCATGAAAAATCCGTCTTCACTTAAATTGTGTTGCTGATTAAAAGCAAGATGTATCTTGCATGTACAGGATGTCTGTCTTGTATACGAAATAGGTACTTATTAGCCTTTTTGTCGTATATTACACAGGCTAAATGATTGACGTAAATGGCATACCGCGAACTGAAAACTTAAAATTGCATTTGGAGATAAGTGGTCTACATGTGTTCGACAGAGTAGCTTCAAATCATGCTTCAATTTCAATGCGCAATTATCCTAACTTGAAGTAACTTCGAACACCCAACAGTTGAGCCCAAAATACGATTTGATGTTTGCCGGTGGCTGCTAGCGATTTGCCGTAAACGTGAATCATAACCTCTCTGAAGTTAGTCAGTTAATTGCAATTGTTCTAACAATTGTGCTAACGCACTTTATAATTTCTGGCTTAACGTAAAATTAATGAGGGCACTTTTTTATAAGTGTCAATAAAAAATGTGAACCGGTTATTTCCCAGTAAAAATAATTCAAATTGCGCTAACTTAATATAGCTCAATGGCGGGTTTTGTCTCGTTCCGTAGGAAAAAAATTCTTTCGTTTTCATTATTATAATGGCCTATAATCAACCAATCTGAAAACCTCGATGTTCATGCAGGTCGGTGGCGAATCCTGAACGTTGATGAGATTTGGCCGTATAATTAAGTATTAATGAGCTATTCGTAATAATTGTAGACAAGCTTCCATCGCTAGAACTGCTGCAGGTTTATCGAAATATCCCTCGAAAGTACGAACGTTACCCTCGTATAAACACAGTATGATAATCTATATGACCTAGACGTATTCGTGGACGAAAGTGTTTTTTTCTTTAATGTATTATCGGTTCTTAAAACGGCTTTTTCCAGCACTACTTCAACTATAATTAATTTCTTTGAAATTTGCATATCTTGAGTTGTTTTTAAACTCGCGTGGCGTCAGCCTTTGTTCGTGCAGCTGTCACACATTCGAATGAATTATCTTTGCGCAATCTATAAATTATATATTTTCCTACAGTTTTAATATCCTACATATTTGTTAGAGCATTATTCTAATTCGAAAAATTAATACATCAAGATTAGCAGGACAGATTTTTTACAACGAATATATCGAATCTATACTTATGTCAAAGATATAGAATAAATTATAATTCGCTTTTATAACCATTGCAGTTTCGCGTGAAAGTGACGAAAGTTGACACGCGAATTCTTTTTCGCTCATGCTACAACAGAAACCTTTTTCGTTGGATGTATTTGATCTGTTTTAATTTCGCGTGTCTATATGCTCTACGGGAATACGAGTGGTACACGAATTTAGAAACAACTATAAAATATATACTAGTGGCGATGCACAATGCACGCAGTCACCATAGTTTATAAATAGCCCACAATTGAAGTAAACACAACTGAACTACTTCAAGAGTATATTGTTGCATAGAGTACATTTTGTAGTACATCATGACCATAATTATAACAACTGTCCTATACAAACGTTTGAAATCCGAATAAAATAATTCTGTTAAGTGTCCCTCAAGTCGCAAAAAACCGTACAATAGAACGTAAAAAGAAAAGAAAAATATACTTACCTCGATGTATCGCAGGAAATGGGTGATGGGGATTACTCTCATAATCAACGTAAATGTTTTTTTCAGATGTCGCAAGAACAAGCTGCAGGAACAACACCACGATACATAACGTGAGCATTATTAGAAGAACGACTTCGTGGTATTGTCAATGGCTGTCAATGTAAAACCGAGATACTTCACTAAAAGTACAAATGTCAGTGTCTGTAAATGTAAAACTGAGATACTTCACTAAAAGTACAAATAATAAATACCCGCATGATGCATGTTTAATTAAAACATGACAGAATTTTTATTGGAAGGTTTTGAAAAACGCAGGTGTATCCTCTAATACACACCTTCAATTGTATTGAGCGATAAATGATGCTATTTGTGTGTTTTAAAATGTAATTTAAAATAAATTATCTATTGACTGCATACAGCTTCTCATGTTCAAAGCTAAACCTACATATACATACTGCTATAATAATAATAATAATA